TCCCCCCCCCCCCCAATAAACATGAATCTATAACTGCCAGCAGTTATAATTTTCTATATAATTATATAATAATTTAATTCATTCAATTGATTAATTCGAACAGCTGATTCATTCAGGAACAAAGCACGTGACTGTTTTATGAATGAGTAATTGAACCACTCACTAGATTCATTTAAAAACGCACGTTCATTCATAACGAAACATCACTGTGTTTGCTTGGAGATGTGCAGAGGCTTAGCTGGACTTTGTTTGAAACTATTTTCGTTGACGAAATAGAGCAAAATCAGGCAATACTGTTATAGTCAGACAACGTCAAAACACTTAATATTAACGTCTTGTTTATAGAACTATTAAATATCTAAATCAATATCACATTTGCAAACTTTGAAAGCTGTCACTTTCCGTAGTTCATTGATTATAATCAACAAATCTCTATACACTGTAATGCTATTATTTAGCCTACATCATGTGTGTCTACCCTTTTATAATGATAGGATTCATGAGCTTGCATAACTCGGCACTGAACAAAACTGAAAAAAAAATATGCTGATCAGGTATTCTTCATAGTCGCACGTAGTAGTTTTCAGTTGCAAACGCGAGCGGCACGGAGCGGAGATTGGACACGCGCAGTCAGTCAATGATGACCAGAATCACAAAAGAATCACGAGTTTCACACAACAGCATGGGACACAGTTAAAGGGGCTAACATGACAGTAAATTGCAGACTTGCAAAACAACAAAACAAGTGGGTATACGCAAATATTGATCCTTAGAAGTCGTAATACGTAAACAGCCCTGGGCAAAAAGTAAGCATATGGCATATACCTGTGTATCGCCCGGACTACACCACTGGTCTACAACTACCCCAACCCTAAACAATAATGCAAAAACAGTAATTGTTGTATACAGTGTGACAAAAATTACGCTATATTGATGTGCACATGCCCAGTAGCCGCAGCTGTATCCCTTCTAGCCTTAACCACAAATCAGACAGGAGAGTAGATTAACTCTGGTGCAAATGGTGTGTTGGTGCTGCCCTTTTTCAATAATCTGTTACACTTGGACCTACATCGTAATACCAAAGAAAAGATCTGTTGCTACTTCCGTTTCATTGTGACTTTAAAGTTGCCATTTTATGTTGCCATTGTTTTGCAAACAAACTGCTCAGTACAATAGCTTAACACACTTAACATCGCATGCTAACTTAGCTTAAACCTACGAAATTCACGTAACATACATGTAATCACAAAAGTCATTACACTTTTTGATCAGGCATTGTTCGTGACACTGTCAACTTTTTTATTTTCACTCAGCAACCAAGAAAAACAATAGTGATTGCTAACCAAAAAATGGAAGGCACGTGACATTTTCTTACAGATGAGTGCAAAATCTCATTCTTAACTATACACATACATAGAGCATATCACATCACATATAGTAAACACATAAGCTCAAACGTCCAAACGAATGATGCTTAAGAATTAATCAGGTTTGTTCTAGTGTTCAAGGCACATGTGACATGCACACACTTCCATGGTTGCCAGATATGATGTGCTGTATGTATGTCTATATTTGAAAAAAGCCTAAATTCATGTTCATCATATACAGTATATTGATCGTATCCCTTCACAAGACTTGGATTAAACCACTTGATTCACATGGATCAGTTTTAAGATGCCTTTATGACCGTATTGGGCCTTCAAAGTTTTGGTTACCTTTACAGAAATCTTTCAGGTTACAATAAAAATATCTTAGTGTTTCAAAGGTTTACCAAAGTCTTATGAATTTGAAATGACATGAGGGTGAGTGAATGATTTCGAATTTTCATTTCTGGGTGAACTATCCCTTTAAGTCCTGCATCAAACCTCCTAATTTCCAGTGTCATGTTTATAACAGCCGTTAACACTAGAGCCCGACCGATATGGGTTTTTTGGGGCCGATACATATCGGCGGCATATTCGCCGATACCGATATATCGGCGACAGGCTCACATCGGCCAATAATATCGGCAAAACGATATATCGGTCGGGCTCTAGTTAACACCATTGCAGTTTTAGCATCGCCTGCCAGTCCATGCGTGCCGCAAAGAACAGACTGAGATCCACATGTAGTTTTGGACGACTGATAACAGAACAGACAAACAGTGGGTTGATTCTGGCACAAGACACTGTCTGTTGTTCTGTTTTTGTGTATGTGAGCGCACACACATTATGACTACTATTAGCAAGGCCACAGAGGTACACTGTACTGAGCTGAACAAGGGAGGAATGGTTCTTCACGGCATGTAATTTTGTAATTC